ATCATTATCTTGATCGTACGTTGAGAACCGTTGTCCATTTTGAGCTGCCATTGAATCACCAGCTGTTCCACTGTATCCTCCGACTTTAAGTCGGTACTTGTCGGTCTTGTCAGCGATGGAGAATACTGAATATTCAGCAAATCGTTTAGCCGGTGATACTGGCGGCCATGCTTCCAAATCAATTCGCATTTTGCACTTACGCCCCTTCACAAAACTGGCAAGGTTGTCCAGTCCAATGAAGTATTCTTTCCATTTTGGGCTACCGAAACCATGTTGATACTCGACCCAAGTACGATAGAAATCCTCTACACCGTTGAACCGTCTAAATATGTACGTCCAACCTTCGTCACAATACGCTCCGAAAATTCGTCCGTCGCTTGTTCTTATGTTTCTTGCACCAGCTGCTAAAGGGTCTTCGCAACAGTCATTCAAGTAACAAACTAGACAAAATTGAAAAAACAATTAGCAGAAATTATCAATAATGATTTTTGTCTTTGTTCTGTTGTTAGAGCAGATTGTATACATTTGAAGAATTTCCATTTGATTAAACAAAAAAATCCAACGATAGCTAACAACATTGTGCCTTGGGCCATCTTACTAGGCAAAACTCGCGATAAAAGAACCTTGTTTTAGAATGCGAGAAGTGGACAATGATCATGCTTCGAAAATCAACACTCTTGAAGCAGTTGAAGCTGGTGACGTCAATTATGATAAATATTCCTATTACCAATTGCAAGAATATAGGGTATCTCAAAAATTGTACCCAAAAGTATATCAAACGCAAAGAGAAACCAATCAATATTTTCAGATATTCTTTGCATGGCCATAGGCAAAACATAACGTTTTCTCCCCAATACTAAAGGATGAGTCTGGATATACATGTATGCCCTTTTTGTCCCTCAATTAAATGTATGTGAAATATGGTTTTTATTACTGTCCTAGTTATATTTGATAAGTAATTTACTTTTTCATGAGTTTTGATGCATAAATAACCCCCTGCTGAGAGTTAGAATATGTATCCTAACAAAAAAACAATTAGTCATTGTCAAAGAAAAAACACCAATGGCAACATGTATGACATACAAAGAAGAAATAACTCAAGACCCATGAAGACTTAAAAAAATCATTTTTTTGAAATATATTTAAAGATTAATTTTTTATAATTTTTTGAATTTCCCGCCAGTTTAATTTGAAGGGGGAGAAACAAGATGGCTGCCATTTGATGTAAGAAATTTCACAAAAAAAGTTCACTCAAGTTTCACAATGAGCACAGTTTTCCGGTTTAGGTTTTTTGATTGATTCTGACTCTTCATCATCAGGGTCATGTTTCGAGATTATAATATTGAAACCAAAATGTTGTGCTCAGCATGAATTTGACTGAAATATGTTTAACTTCAACACAATTGAAGTGTCAAAATTGGATGCTCAGTAACTTTGAGTGACTATAATCCCTTGATTGCCCAGATAAACACCAATTCACTTATCCAGAATACCTGTACCATTCAATGTCTATACAAAGAAAGTAAGCAATATTTTGGAGGATATGTTTCAAACTTTTTGTATGAAATTATTCATTTAATACTTGCCATTGATTTTGTTTCAATTCTGGCAAAGTGGTATGCATTGTCTTTGATCCCAATATTCTTCATCAATTGTGATACAAATTGATATTTTTGTAATCTCAGAAGAAGGATAAGATATTGAAGTTTAATAATATTTGTGATTGAGTTTGTTTTTCAGACATAAGAATTTTCAATATTTTCTAAGTCGATATCCAGACTCATTCCCAGACTCATCCTTTTTAGTTCAGCCATGCCTTTTTAATGCTTTAACCCTTTTTATACCATGTCTTAAATTTAACCTCCTCATATTTAGATGACAGTCTGCATCCTTACTGCTACATTGTCGATCATCATTTCATAATGTTACTCATCAAATTTTTTGAATTTCTTTTCAGATGTTGGCCTTAAGTTGTTCTAGGTTTCTTGGTTTGGGATTAGTATAAATGTGGTTCTTAAAATAACCCCAGAGAAAAGGTCTGGGGTGTCAAATCTGTTGAATAGGAAGGCCCTGGCCTCACAATGTCTTTGTACAATCGTTTTGAGACTACAGTGTTCTCATTTGGATATCAATCAGTGTCCATAACTCTGGAAGGTGGAACTCCATCATCAACTGCACATTTGTCAACCAATTGACCTATGTGATTGTTTTTGAGCATTTTAAGCTTATCCTAAGCCAAAAGACCTAGAACAACGTAAGGCCAACATCCAAAGAGAAATGCAAAACATTCCACCAGAAACATTATCAAATGTGATGAACAATGAAGCATAAAGATAGAGGCTGTCATCGAAATTTGAAATAAAAAAGTAAGGGATTAAACTATCAAAAAGGCAAGACTGACCTAAAAATTGTGTATTGGGGAGACAACTATCATGCTCTAGCCACACGATCATGCAAAAAATATTTGAAAATATTGATTGGTTTAGTTGTGCTGTTGATATACTTCTGGGTACATTTTCTGAGACACCCCGTATACATTTCAAAAGTCTACCCCAGGAATGAATTTGAAGTACTTTGTCAAATTCCCAACACCTGACATAATATCGCATCATCCCAACCATTTCCCGACCCTTCCCCCATTGGGGCCACTCGTAAAGTTTTGAACAGTGTCTAGCATGTTATGATAATCTTTAATTAATTGCATTGTTCTTACCTTCACATTTGTCATCACCTGATGCGTGCAAAAACGATAAGTAAATAGATTAATTAGTGCATTTAAGTTTCATTTTTGCAAAATTACTCATATACTCGTACTCTAATACTCATATTTCAAATTTTTCAACGTATCTCTTTGAAACAACGTATAGCACAATTTTTTTGTGCTGTCTTTGAGACAAAATATGAATAAAATATTCACGCATTTGGACAAATGACTCAAACAGTTTTAAGGTCAAATGTTACGGTTGCTATTTTTACAAGACGTTTGGCCTTTTGTTTGCTAAAGTCACGAATTTCTAACAAAACGCCATAAATTACACCATTTTCAATCGAGAAACACATTATTTTTCAATGTCAATATTATTATCTTTTAAGCTTAAAAATATGAGGATTCTTGTTATTTGTTGTCAAATTTTGAAGACAAACGCTTTTTGGAAAAACTTTTTGGAAAAAAATTATATTTTATGTGTTAAGTCTTTATGTGCGAGGCAACTTAAACCAACTGCATAAGAATGCAATACATTCAAATGTCTTTTGACAAGATGTTATTCTCTTGATTTAAGAAAATGTTTCATACATCACATTTTGATAAAATTGTGGAAGACTACAAAACCACATATCTGTATGATATTTGAATGATATTGACTTTTAAAGATCAGCGTATTTTCCTTGAGTTTAAGTTAATACATTATATTGATTTGATTAATCATTGACTTTGTGAACGATTATCAAATACCTTGTGTACGACCAATCATGAAGACGAGGATCGCTCCAAACACCAATGTCAAAAGATGCATCTTTCTGAAAGCTCCTATGTTAGCCGTCATCAATGTTTCAATTCGGCTGCACGTCTGATTTGAAATGATAAGTTCTGATTATATAAATGATGCGTTACAAAAGTGCAAAAGTCACGTGGTAGAGCATCATCTCACTGTGTTTGAATCTACAGGGTGGGTTAAAAATCAGCATTTCGTATCCCTTTCCAAAGAAACTCGTATGGTATAGATGGCAACTTATTTTAGACTATGGTTATCTTCTCTCCATACCCGAGGTCCATACATTATTTTTCATAAAAATACGACGTTATCGTCAATGTAATGTTACCTATTATGAAGAAGATTTTCTGAACTAGTTTTAAAGTTTTAAATAATTCTTTTCTAGATGCCAACTAATATTATTATTGGGGCTTCATTATTCTTGTAGTTATGTCATAAAATAACCTTTATATAAAATATCGGGATGTATCTCGAATATTAAAAATGGACTCCATGCCCCTTATTACACGTTTTAACCATTCGCAACGCCATTTAAGAAAAAATCAAAGTTCTCTGGCCCACTCTGTATATGGGCTAACTTTCTATGCCCAGTTAAACTATTGACTTCGTGCATTGAATCCTCGATATAGAATGTTTGAATGACATCGCATCATTATCATCATTTTTATTGTTCGTTTTTGAAAGCAATAAAAATGTAAACGTATATAACAATATACCACTACATTTAATGTTTTTCAATTGTTCAAAATGCAATGCGAACTCTATTGTTAGTAGAAATAAGCACATCACGAAACAACATTAAAACATTGTCAAAGACTTAATAGTATATAGAACAATACTTTATTACTTTGTTTTTTCTGGTTGAAATTTCAATTATAATAACAAATAATAACATATTTCCCCATTTAGACCAGGATGTGAAATTCAAATAAAAGAATACTTGGTAATGGACTTGTTTTGCCAGCCTGTTTTATTAAATTAAATCTAGTTTTAAAGCTCAGATAGAATCCTTATCTATGTGTCAACTAATATTTTTTACCGGGGTTTCGTTATACTTATAGTAAATAGTTATGTCATAAAATATCATTTATATATGTATATGACAGCTTCAACAGATTTATCCAACAAGATCAAAGGCCTAAAAGAAATCAATTCTTGACTGTGATCTCTCCTTGTACTGTACGTCATGACGTACAGTGTATGTGCAATGCATATTCGCTGATGCAAGAGGTGGTGTTGAATTACCTCCCCCACCCTTTTAATCACTTTTCCACAGCTGAATGACTCTAACTGCAGTTAGTATCATTCAAACTGGTGAACAAAATTCTTTCCATTTCTATAATCTCTGATTTTAGCTGAACTAATCTAAGATTATGCCCGAATATGTAAGTGCAAGTCCCAACGGAAAAACAGCAAAAATGATTACAAAAAATAATCTTTGATCAGTTGACGGATTTGGCACAAAAAAACAGAAAATATGATTCCATTATTTAATCCGGAATTATCTATTTCACTTTAATGTACAGAAAACTTAATTAGAACTTAACAGCAATGTATTTTCATTGAGGCCTTCTTAAAGGAGTAGTAATAATTATTAGGGGATCCGATGATTGCTGGCCAATTATACCATGCGACACATTGGGCAAAACTTGGGCAAACTGGTCCTTTGTACCAACCGAACAGATTTGAAGCGTGGCACTTCCCGTACCACCACGCTCCTTTATAACTGCTTGCACAATTTTCATTGGCAATATCATGATCTTTATCGTACGTCGAAAACCGTTGTCCATTTTGAGCTGCCATTGAATCACCAGCTGTTCCACTGTATCCTCCAATGGTAAGACGGTACTTATCGGTCTTGTCACCGATGGAGAATATTGAATATTCAGCAAATCGTTTAGCCGGTGATACGGGTGGCCATGCCTCCAAATCAATTCGCATTTTGCATTCACGCCCTTTCACAAAACTGGCAAGGTTGTCCAGTCCAATGAAGTATTCTCTCCATCTTGGGTCACCGAAACCATGTTGATACTCGACCCAAGTACGATAGAAATCCTCTACCCCGTTGAATCGTCTAAATATGTACGTCCAACCTTGCTCACAAAACGCTCCGAATATTTTTCCTTCACTTGTTTTGATGTTTCTCCCACCAGATGATATGGGGTCTTCGCAACAGTCGTTCAGGTAACAAACTAGACAAAATGAAACAAAACAAGATTTATTTCTGGTACCAAATCATTCACCCATGTTATTCCTTTATAATGTTAGGGAAATAGCTTCTCTAAGAATTGTAAAAAAAGATATTCAGCAAATTGCAAGCATTTTGAAAGTATAAAATAGCAAATAAGAACAAAGAATGGAATTTATATAGTTAGTCTAGTAATAAAGTACTCCATGCAATACAGGCGCGGAATTGCGGGATCGTTTCATTTAATATCATATTATTGGTGCTGTCGCTAAATAAACCTCTGCAGATAGAACAAAAAGACCTTTGGGAGAAGGGGGAGGGGTGTCAAATCCCTCCATCATAAATGCAACTATATTTGAAAGTAAGTAAGCAAGATGGCAAGCAAGCTAACGTTGCAATATTTGCAAAATCATTTTTGTCTAAATCCAGGAAGCACTCTTGTCAAATTTTTTAACTAAAGCAAAACATCGATTTTTACATCTTACCTTCACACTTGTCACCAGCTGGTGTTAAGCAGGAAAAACAAAGAGAATTATATAGTATTAGATTATTGCATTATAAATTATCAAATATGAATGCGGAAGTGCAAATGGGAAAGAAACAAAAAATGATTTGCTGTTTATATGTGCCTTTCTGTGTTTTACTTGAAAGTTGATATTTGCAGAAATAAGTTTGTATCAAGGTCTGTGTTGATGTCACGAAATACTGATCATTTTGAACCTAAGATTAAGAGTTAGAGATCAACTCCCGTGCAATTCCCGTGCAACTTAAAACGGCTATGAATACTGTTCATTTTCCAGCGAAAAAGAATTTAAGATGATCATCAACTTTAGCATGATCATTGTAATGGTTTATTTACCTGATAGATGGACGCAAAGGATCACTCCAAACACTAATGTCAAAATATGCATCTTTGCAAAAGCTCCTGCACGGGTTGTCGAGGTAAGCGCCTGGTTTCGTTTTTAAGATTCTCCACCATTTATAGTACTATTAATCCATGTGATGAAATAAAAATAATCGACTGATTTCTATTGGATAATCTCTTACTTATCCACGCAGAAGACGGTGTTTGAAAATAACTTTTACCAAGTATACAGCCCAACACCCAGTCTCTAGAACTGAATAATCCTAATACGCTTATTTAAATATTTTATATTGGTCTCTATTGGATAAATGGGATCTCTCAATTCGATAAAATATCCCCGTGCGTTGAACTAACCAAAAAGACCAAAGCTAGACTTGCATTATCAATTTCTCATCGTGTTTTGTTGACTCTTGTTTAATGATGGGAAACTGCGAACGTCACGTTTTACCTTTATTTATTATTTTGTTTATTTATTCAAATAAAACAATTGTTAGCTATAGAAATAGTTTATTTAATCGAGTTCTGGTTAACGAAGCTAGGATAAACAACATGTGACAATAACATTACTTCATGATTTCACATTATGCATATTCAACTTATCTCAAATAATATTGTTGGCAACTTTTAAATAACATTCATTTATTTTTTGTTTTCCCTGGTTGATTAATAATAAACTGTTTAATAATAATTCGATGATTGTTCCTAGCCATGAATTTCCACTTTCATCAGTAGAAATTCAAAATAATATTTAAAAAGGCCACTCAAATTTGTTCCAGTCTGATTGGCCTTTCCTTCAGTTTCAACAGATTGTTTTGGCTCAGAGAAGCCATATTTATTACTTCTAAGGGGTTAAAATATAGATAAATCCCCTCCAAAACAATTGTATATTGTTTTCGACTTATTGCGCTCAATTCTGACAGTTGGTTGTTCTGTTGGTTGTCCTGTTGATTTCCTCAATATATTGGTGATATCTGTGCTTATGATTTGGTCTCAAGATATACAAGGGGTTGTTCAAAAAGTTTTGCACAATTATGTCTAATTGTGAGAATGATGGACCAATCGTATTCATAGTTAGTATGTATTGTACTGTTACCCAGCAGATAATATTGTTTCTAACAGGATAAGTGTATAACTAAGTTTTAATTAATAGACTTTATTTACTGAGCTTTCCAAACTCCCAAATATACACGAGGCATTGACCAAACTGATGACGTCATCGCGTCATTAAAGGGACAGTATCACTACGTGTATGTGCCCATATCTAATTCCCTTACACTGTCAAAGTTTCATGTATATACGCCTACTACTTGACATTTTACGATTGCTATAGTAACCACGGTGGTGACGCTATGGTCCATATCATTTTGAAACAGATAACTAGCAACACAAGGATCAATGTTACCAAGCATGCTAAATTAACTTTCATAAACTGTCAATTTAATTTAAACAATTTCTAGTATTGTTCTCAACGTTTGACGTTATCAAAGTTCCATGAATTCAGGAAATATTGGAGAATATGGCTTGAAATAATAAAGTTGGAGCAGAAAACATTGATAGAATACATGATAAAGAATGGGGAAACAGTATTACAGAAGTTATATTCATTCATGATTAAGACATATTGGATATGATGAGTTCAATAGGGTTTGCGAAGTATTCAAAGATGGAATAAGAGAAGGGAAATGTATTGAGGGTAGCTGTAGTTATGAGAGATCCTATAGGTAGAATGGTTCAGACATTTGCTTATGGACTGGACGTCCAAAAGCAAGTATAATGCACTTGCTACAAGTATAATGCATTACTGGAAAGGAAGACGTGTTAAGTACTGTATATTTCGATTAAATATAAATAAGTTATAATATAACCTGATTTAACAGCTGAAAGAACAAAGCTTGACGGAATCATTTCAGTCTATAAAGGCATTCACAAAATCATTTCAATCTAATGACTTCATATGTACCATTGGGTTATTGGTTCAAATACATACTGGTGATAGATACAATTATTTTTGGCTTTACTACTTATTTGGCGGATTAGAAATTAAAATTCTTCCAATTTTCATTTTGATTTTGGTACACAGCAAAATTTCACTTGTGTCATTATTCCTGTTACCTGTATGGATGTCAGTGACCAAGACTTACTCTAAGCAGTACACATGAAACTGAAATGCATATTTGCAGAAAAATTATAAAACTTAAGCTTAGTCTATTAAGTGTATCTATAGTATGTACAATGCAGTTAATAATGAAAAATATAGTATCAATACACAGTTCACGTGAGTAGATATATTCAAAGGAGGTTCGTTCATTTATCCCATTATTTTACTTCTAGATGTTTTGTATGAGGAAGTAAAGTTGATGAAAGAGACGTGTGGTGAGGCTCATTTGAAGACAATCTTAGCTGTGCGTGGGAGAATTAGGTACACTTGCTAATGTACGGAAAGCAAGCATGGCGTGTATGATGGCAGGTAGGTCTATATTCATATATATATAAAATATCATTTAAACTGTCATTTGTAACGTCATCTCTTACCAATTACCCATTGGCTTTAATGTTGCCTACTTTATGATGGATACCACCTGATGGGAACACTCCCTTGCAGAATTAAAGATGTTCGATATTTACAGGTTTGTTTGGACACCTCTGTCAAAAGAACACTTGTAAATGTTCATTTTAAGTAACTCACATTTTGACTAATTACACTCATCACGTTGATTTTGAATTTAAACAAATGATGAAAGTTCATTATCTAGTGATGTTCCTTTTAACATTATTTTCTCTCATAATATTATTTCCAATATAAATGTACATCGATACAAACATTTGATTAAAGCGATTTGTCAATACTTGATATTACCATAGGTGCTGATTTTATAAAGACATCAACTGGCAAGGAAGGTGTGAACGCCAACTTTGTGGTGGCTCTAGTCATGGTTCGTGCAATCCGGGATTACTTCCAACTAACTGGACTTAAAGTAAGAATCATAGAGCGCCAGGCCTGTAGCCAGGGAAGGTGGGGAGGGGGGGGGGTTCAAGTGTATTTGTTTTAAAATCATAGAGTTTTTTACCATTTTATGCAATGATTTTGGATTTGGATTTTTTTTAAATTGACCCGTCCTCCCCCTTTGGCTAAAGCTGGCTACAGACCTGAGTTCTGGTCTAACATTTTTTCTACATAAAAATTAATTATGTTACTGAACCTTTTCTTAATAAGGGACAACTATTACATAAAAAGAACAATAATGGCATGTGAAGAGCCTAGTGTTTAATATTCTCAGGTTTAAGATTGCTTTTCAATCAAGAATTTTAACACAATAGGTAATTTTCTCATGATTCATATTGCTCGCCAAAATGTAGCTGTAACCAAAGTACAATACAATACTATAGCAGGCCCGTAGCCAGGGGGGGGGGTTGATGGGTTCTCACGTTTTTAGACCAAGATTGTCAAAAATGACCCCCCCCCCCCTCTGGGAAAGAGAACCCCCCTTATCAAACGGGCCTGTATAGTATGATAGTATTATAGTTTGGATAACTTTAGTTCAAGAATACTTCAAAAGGACAATGATCTTGTGTTAAAATTCTACACTTTGATGGATGATTTAAAATCTGTACTTGCAGGTGGGTTTCAAGCCAGCTGGAGGAATCCGAAGTGCTAAAGATGCCTGCACGTGGTTGTCTCTTATGAAGGAAGAACTAGGGGAGGAATGGATGAAAAATGATCTGTTCAGACTTGGCGCTAGTTCTCTCCTGGGTGATATTGAACGCCAGATCTTCCATTACGTCACGGGGAGATATGCTGCATCCCACGAGTTGCCAATGGCGTAATCTTGCAGCAGCAAAGACATTTTCCAAAAATAGGCGAGGCATATCTATGTAGGCAAGGCAAGGGCTGTTTTACTACTACAGGACATAATTTTCACAGCTGCACCAGTTGAAGATATTGAAAATTGATTTTCTGCAATATTTTGCCTCACCTAAATTATATGTATCATCGCACATGGATTGTATAACATTGCCAATCAAAAAACGATAAATAATCAAGATATTTACATGTACTTGAATATGGTCATGGGTATATTAAGACAAGGTACATAATAAGGCCCATGAGCTAATAGTACCTCATTATAGACTGTGTATTCTTAATAATGAATTGTCAGTAATAATCACAGTGAAGTTTACTGAATATATATGGACAAGGTTATCCATCAGTAAAAATTGAGAAACTATGGTGAAACATCTCTGTTTTGAAGAGGTTTTTTAAGTATTCGTATTGTATAGGTACATTGTATGTGATTTATGCATTTCATTTTAAGGCAGCTAAACATTTCTAATAACAGTATATACAGTATATTAATTTCTATTACACTCATCTTATTAAGAGTTCATATCGCATAATAACCCTTATTATCGGATTCCAGCTGTTAGTAGTATTAATTTGAATAAATTAAAACTGAGTAGTGCAGCTGAGTGGACATGTATATGCACCGATAACTAGGTCTATTTTTGCTTAGCTGCCAACGGAAACACACCTTTGTAAGAGACTAGGCTAGTTGTACATAGCTGTAAATAGCACATGGATTTTAGTTAGGAACTTTTATTTACTAGTCTTACTACAATTGTTTGGACTTATGAACCCAGTACGGCCCCTAGTGCTCCTGAAATAATGTACTTGGACAGGTAGGGAAATATGATTTTTCAAGATGGAATTTTGAATAATGAAGGTCTAAATGACCATGGTCTATAATGACCACAGTCCAGGTCTAAATGACCACATGTTAGGTCTAAATGACCACATTTTTAGGTCTAAATGACCACAGTTTAGGTCTAAATGACCACAGTTTAGGTCTGAATGACCACATGTTATTTCTAAATGACCACATTTTAGGTCTACATGTAAATTACCACAGTTTATGTCTGAATGCACACACCAAAGGTCCAAATGACCAAAGTTCAAGGCCTATAAACCAAAGTTTGACCAAGGTTTAAAATGAGCCGCCATCAGAATAATAGTCATATTAGAGGTCAATGGTCATATTACAGTTTCAGCGAGCATATCCATTTGCATAGCCTCATAGTAGGTTCAAATTAATAGAATCATTTTTGTTTGATTCAAGTTCTAGTAATCTAGTGCTTATAGATTCATGTTCTGTTTATCAGCGGTCTATATGGTCAATATCTTTGACTCAGTTTTCGAGGAGAACAAGTCTGAATTGAAGATAACAGACAATCATGTAAAATCTGTCCATAAATATTGGTCAAAAACATTATCCTAGTAGATATCAAAATATGAAGAAAAGGCTAGAGTAAGCTATCTAGAAAGTAAATGAACTTAAAATGTTCCTAGTCCCAAAGCAGGTAGAAATCTACAATTGCAAAATGGGAAAATGGCATATGCAATACTGGTAATGTGTGTCACATGGACTCTCTGAAAAAAAGCTCTTTATCCATGGAAATCCGGTTAACAGCCCTAGATCAAATGACAATACTCGTACAATATTTTGATTAAAACAGCTATTGTTGCTGAACAAGGATTTCCCATAACCAACTACTGTAGTTGAAACAAACTTCATGCTTCAATTTTTCAATTTGACAAGAGTGGATTGGAGAATTTTCTGTCTTCATACCATTACCAAAACCAAAAAGAGAATACCCCAAGCTGGGCAAAAGAATTGTTTGGTGATGACTCAACAAAAACGTTGAATTTTGTCAAAGACATGAAAACATAGTTTTCTAGATCAAAATCTTTTAATAGATTATAAATACAAGTATTTGAAAGCAGAAGCTAGCTGTCAGCTGACAATAGCTACATGTACACAGCTAGAAGTCGTGACAAACAATGTTATTGTACATGACCAGATGACGTCGCTCCAGCACAACTTACGCTGTAGGAAAATCCTTGTCCAATGACAGGTACGTCAATTTTATTTTAAAAACTAAACCAAAATGGATCTAAAAAGATGAATGTTTTGACATAACATCAGATCTAGAAAAAACAATCTGGAAGTTCACTAAAACAGAAACTTAGGTAAATTACATATACTTTTTGAAGTTCCAAAGTCACCTACATAGAAATATGAAGTATGGTCAAGGTTACCAGAGATTTTGAGAATTGATAACAATATAGCTTAAGATTTCTAAATGGAAAGCAGCTTTAATATTTCTCAAAACTGTGATTTAAAGCAATCGGATGTCTTGTCCATCCTTTAAAAACAGGAGATTCATTTAACTTAAACATGCAACAGAAAAGCAAAGTCAAGCATAGATCATTTTCTGTGTCACATATTGTTACAGGAGAAAGAGGATTGTTCCCAGAGTCTCGTTCTCAATCTAAACTCTAAATTTTAAATCTAAACCTTAACCATTTAGTTGGTATGAAAATTTCAAAATGGAAGACTTGGTAACTCTAAGAAACATGAGATGGCCAAACGATTACCGATGGTGAAAGTCCATGCTAAGGATGCTTATATGAACATAAGCATGCATACATTCGAGGCACAGGAAATATCTCCGTTGAATGATATAACAGCATTTGAGATCATTACTACTGTACTATGGACCTTGCTTCCCTCAAACTCGTGAAAATACCATAAGCGCTATTGTGGAATATTTTATTTGGTTTTGAATCTTTATTGATTCTCTGATGTCATTAACCTCACGCCTATCTGCTACTCATGAACATGATTTCAAGTTAGTGAAATATTTGTTTCAAACTGAAGTTTCTGATAAATGGGGAAAAGACTATTGTTGAATTTTTCCCATCATAAAATGGAGCTTTGTAGTTTTGTGATCAATACAATTGAGATAAACTTGAAGGCCTTTATAGAAATGATAGTTTCTATCCAAATTCTCGCAAAGACTTTGTTGAGATAGAATCAACCCTAGTCAGTAATCTTACTCAAGTTATTAATTGAGATACTTTTGAATTGTACTTTAGTCTGTAATCTGCATATTGTACCTCTACATTTATTGACACTTGCAAAGGTCAAAGCAGTCCTACATGTATGCATTGATTGCCAAAATAACTCACAAAAAATGAATATAAAATTTGATAGTGATTGGTCCAAGAAGTCGAAATTCAGAATACTAATAGTATTATCCGAATCAATAATTACAATAACAACAAAAAGCAGCCTGTTTGGCTAAAGTTCAAGTCTGATGGGACAGTAGCTTAGGGGAAATAGATTAAACAAAAAATTGTTTCATATGAATGAAAGCCATGGATATGGTAGTGAAAGTATTCACAAAAACTTAGACAATGTTATATAAAATTAACAAGAAAACCACGATGACATTATGTGAACAAAATGTGGGGAACAAGATGGCTAGAAATGTTAAAAGCAATGCAAGATCGTTCAGATACCTTTGCCAGAGATATCATTATTACCGTATAATATCTTCCAAGGAATCAGAATTGAATGTCAGATCAAACCTAGAGAAATTTCTCATTGCATCAAACTAGAAATAAGATTGGGAGATTTTTCCAAATTGAAAGTTTTAAGGTCCAAATAAAAAGATTTTGTCGACCAGTAGAAAATTAATATTTCAGGTGGAAACTAAACCCAGAAACTCTGGAAGTTGACATATTTATTCAGAATAAACAGTCAAATAACTTTCCTCCAATTTCTTAAACATCTGTTAAATCAGCCGATTACTGGTTAAAGTAAGACAGAAAAAATGCACAGATAGCTCTCATAGCCCCAATGTGGCAAATGGCTCTGCAGTATCTATAATTGTTGGAAATGTTGGTCTGAATGCCCATCTTATTGCCAAACCATATGAAATTACTAATATCTAATCTTACGGCTTTAATAAAAAAAACTAGATAACACTAACGGTGTCCAAATGATTATCCTCAAGTTTGAAACTAGAGGTTTCTGCGACAAACTAGCAATACATGTACGAGGGTATATCATAAAGTTCTCATAATATCTCTCTAATTTTTTTATTTTTCAATATATTCTGATGAATTTTTCACAGAATGTGTAGTTTAGAATGCTGTATTAATCTATCAAAAAATATTTGGTATAACAGAAATATTATTTAAGAAATGGTTGCCATAGTAACCAGAAATCAAGGCACCCGGGGCAAATAAAAAATTGTGCAGGAATAGCCCCAACTAACCATGTTTAAATGCATAATAAATTATCAAATAAGCAATGAAACACATCAAATTGTTAAATACCATGTATTCTTGACTGTTTTAAACTATTATATAATAATGGTCATGTGAATTGTGTGATCTCATAATGGATGATTGTAATGCTTCATTAGAAGTGATGTTAGACACTACAACTGTTTTGTCAAATATTCCAAGGAAAGTCGATTCCACTTTAGTTCATCTTAAATAAATAAAAGACCACACATAGGGTGTAATTATGTTGATATCTTTGCAACATATTGTTTCAGATCATCTTTAGTATGAGAAAAGGATTTTTCTAACTAAACTAAACTTTTTATCAGTGTGAATATTATTTTTATGATGATCCCTGCATCTATGCATTATCTTACTCAGTCATTTCTGATCATTAAGCTTTGGTTCTCAGAGTCTGGTATCACATCTAATGAAGCATGAAAGCATCCCCTACGACACCACACAATCCACATGATCAATTTATTTTATAGTAAAAGCATTTAACACCATATTCAAGTTAACATTTTAATGTGTTTGTTAATTTATGAGAGTTTATTATGTATGTAAACAAGGTTAATTAAGGTCATTCTCTCAATTATTTTTATTTGCCCCGGGTGCCTTGATTTATGGTTACTATGGCAACCATTGCTTATCTAATATTTCTGTTATACCAAATATTTTTTGATAGATTAATAAAGTATTCTATACTGCAGTTTATATGAAAATATCATTAGAAATTATTGAAAAATAAAAAAATTAGAGAGATATTATGAGAACTTTATGATATACCCTCGTATATTCATTAAATCAAGTAAAGAAAGTACTTAAATTACTTCCAAGGACCCCTGGAAAACATGGGTATGCTGCAAGTTCTAATAAACATGACATTAATATTTAGCCTCTGATACAAATTTAGCCAATTTCCTAACTGAAATGTCAAATCAGGTATGTGCTATTCGTTTCTCGATACTTAAAGTCTGCAAAATCAGCATATAATCGAACCATAGATAGTCATAGATTTTATGGAAACTTTTACAATGGAAACCCACTAAATAAAATAAATGAAACTTGGGATGTGAATAAGGTTGTACTGTATCTCACATTGAACATTCGGGTCAGAATAGAAATCTCAACTGAAAGTACACAATTAGTCATGTTAATGTCTATTTCAAGCATGTATCCCAGGGTCTCTGAAATAATATGCCAT